TTTATTAATTATTTATGAATTTTAACAATCAAATCAAATATAATTAATATTTTTTGAATAATATTATGTGATTTTAATGAATCAATGAGTGGTCAATCACATCCCAATAAAAAGTATTTTTTTTAATCTTCTAATTCACCTTATTCATACAATTTGCATTGAAAATCTCTTACCTTAACGAGATTATTATTGTTAAATTGATTAATTAGTTGATTGGTATACCAAAATTTTTATCACACATTAATTTTGACTTTAATTTTTTTTCTCTTTTGTCCCTCCTTCACAGGTAATGAGTTTCATATTCTCCAACATCTATTTTTTTTGTCATTAAAAATAAAATAATAAAAAGTCTAAATTCAAAGAAAATAAAAAATGGAGAAGATGGAGACTTAGGCTTTATTGCATTGAGTGACAGATGGTGGCCCTGAGCTAGGTTTGACGCCGTCCCACGTCAAGGTGTGAAACACTGAATCGTTATAGAGATTCAAGTCTTTTTTTTTTTCTTTAGTTTTGTTAGCCACTGGTATGTGCCCCACTCGTTTTAGATAGTACGTTATATATAATTACTTAGTTTTAATTATTAATTTTATTAATTATTTTATATTCTTTCCCGTCTAATTTACTTGTCTCATTTTTTAAATAAATATTATTTAATTTAATTGTCTCACTTTTTATTTTAATAATATATTAAATGCTAATATTTCAAATGTACCATTATCCCAAAAGCGATCAAAATGCACCAAGATTTTTTTGCTTAATTATAAATAAGGGTGAAAATGAAAAGTTCTAATTATTGTAATAAATAAAAATTTCGATAATCATGAATGAATAAAGTGGAATAACTTTTTTTTTTTCTTTATCTTGGTTGCATAATGGGAGGCAATCATCTTCCATTCCTTATCACACCCCACTTACATGCCTATGCGACTCGAACTTGAGACCTCTTACTTGCAGCAGAAAAAGATGACCACTGAGTTACATAAGTCGTTAGTTAAAGTGGAATAACTAAATTCAATGGAGAGAGTATATTTTTGCTATAATGAAAGAAAAACTTACAATTACTAGTAAGGGTGAAACTAAAAAGATAAATTCTAATTATTGCAATAAATAAAATTTTCAATAATTGTGATATGAATAAAGTGGAATAACTAAATCCATTGTAGAGAGCATATTTTTGCTATAATGAAAAAAAAATAAATTGCAATTACACACAATACAACAATCCCAAATAAAATCTCAATGATGGCTTATATAATATAAAATAGGTCTCTCCTATCCCAAACCCCTTTTTACTTGTTAAAAGTTGAAACTTGAAATCTCAAATAAAAATCTATTGCATCTTCCACGAAAACACTTGATGTCTTCATCAAGGCCAAGCTAAGCACAATCAGAATTAGTCTACCATCTTGGCCAATGGTCAATATGAGCCCACACCTATGAGAAGTGACCACTCTAATACCAACTGAAATGACCCAACTTGAAGGTCCTTACAAGCTTAAACTCAAGTTGTTAGTAGTATTTGGTTTTTACACTTATATACCAAACTCATTAGTAATTCCTCATTGATGTGGAATTAGGGGTGTTATATCTCACATGTCTTCTCCTAAGGTTTTAAATGGCATTCTTTTTCCTTTGTGGCAGGGGTTGGTCCTTTTTTCTTGGCTTCTTGGCTTTTGTTTCTTGGTTTGGTTTTTCTTCAATGAAGGCAATTGTTTTAGGGTGTGATGGAATCTAGGGAATCAAGGTAGTATTGGATTCTCATTTCACTAGGTTCACAAGGTTAATAGAGTCTAGTCCTAACAAAGGTGATTGTATTGGGTTTAAGTGGGTGTCATGAAAGCAAAAATTAAATAAAAATCCTCTTCAACCCACTTAATATTTTTATAAATTCATTAACAATTAAGGAAGGTTGGTGATTATTACTTTACGTGCCTCTTCAAGGCATAGCTTTGATCACTGTCCTTTAATTGAAGTCTTAGAGTTTAAGGGTAGAACTCCTTTCACAATAATCAACACGTACACTTAAGGATTTAAAGAACACAAGATCCCTGTGGACTTCATTGACAAAAGTAATGAACAATCAATTGATAATAGTTAAGATTGTGATGGAATGTACATCATGTTAGTATAAGGGTTATTAGGGGGGTTATCTAATCTATATCATTCACATAGGGATGGTATGTTAAATAAAAATATTCTCAATAAAGGAGTAAAGGAATACTGTAACTTGTTGTAAGATGCTAAAAAGTCATTTTATCCTAATACTAAGTAATCTAGGCTTTCTTTTATTGTAAAGTTGCTACACATGAAATGCCTCTCTATGGATGGAGAAACAAATTTGTAACAAGCTTGCTTGAACTTTTAAAGAAAACATTAACAAAGGAAGAAACAATGGCTCTTCCTATCTTGAGGCTAGAAATATCAAAAGAACTTGGGCTTGATCATGAGAAGATAGATGCATGCCCAAATAATTATACATTATTCTAGAAAGAGTATGCTAATATTAACACTTGTATGAAGAGTGGTTGTTCTAAATGGAAGTTAGAAGTTACTTTGGATGATGGATCAAAGAAAAAAATTGTAGCGAAAGTTCTTCATTATTTTCTTTTAAAACCAAGACTTAATAGTTGTTTATTTCCTTGTAAACAACTTTTGATAGGAGATGTGATGAAGAAGGGTACATAAAGTGTTGGTTATTGAGAATCTAGTAAATACATTAACTTGGAAAAGATTGGATGAACTATATCATTGCCTGCATAAAAGCCTTGGAATTTTAAACTTAGGTTGGCTAGTGATAGTTTTAATCCATTTAGCACTTTGCGCTCTTCGTATCTTATATAGCCTATTGGAATTGTTCCTTATAACTTACCTCATGGATGTACATGAAAAAGCCAATTTTCATGTTATATTTTCCTACTCTTGGTTTAAAAGCCCCAAGTGATGCCCTTGATGTGTATTTATAGTCATTAGTGAAAGTGTTAAAGGAATTGCAGAAAATTATTGTTGAGACATATGATGCCTTCAAAAAAGAAAACATTAAAATACATGTTGTTATTTTATGAAAAATAAATGATTTCCTTGCTTCTGGGAATTTGTGAAATATTTAAAATTAAGAAAAAAGAAAGCTCAAATAAAAAGATTTATAGTGGTTTGGCACAACTTGTGCCTAGTTCACTCCTAAAGTTGTTTGCTTGAGAGTTTACTTTAGATTCAAAGGTTCTCTTTTATCTTCTAGGTGTAAAGGAAACCATGTACAATAGTTCTGTCGATGCTATTACTTCAAAAATTTGACATCTTGTTACACTCTCTTATAAACTTGATCATATACTATAAGGATAGTTTTTCTAGATCTAATACAGCTACTCAATTCCTTTCTTACATTTTTTTTTGAAAGAGAATGAAGAGAACAATGATGACAAGAAGATTTTGAATGAAAAGTTTACAACCCAAAAAATTTGAAAACTTGTAAATTTTTTTTTTCTCTTGAAGACAAATGCTCTCATGTTTTTCTCTTTAAATCTTCAAATGCTTCTTTTATAATCCAATTAATATAAAATTAGCTAACTAGTCATCTGCTTCATTTGGAAATAGATTTAAATTTTATATTTTCAAATATTATCAAAAGTTTCAAAACCAGAAAATAAGGTTTGCGGCTTCTCTAAAATCTTGGAAAGTAAGAGCTTAACAAATTACTTAAGTTTTGAAATTTGTTGTTTGGCCTAGAAGTTATGGTTTATTGAGCAAAATAAAATATTTGTAATCATATACTAGGTTTGGAACCAAAAGGTGAATGTAGAGAATTCATGAAAAATTTTTAAGTTCCAAATTTAACGTGGGTTCAAAATCTTTGAATAAAAATGTTAAAAATGTTTGGACCTTTTGTTAGGTTTTGAAACCAAATTCATGAGAAAAGTTTGAGCCTTTTGAATAAAAAAAAGGTAATATTTTGAATATCAAATCAATTTCTAGAAGACTAATTAAGAGTATTATTAATTTTAACTCAAATAGTTTAATTTGTGTAAGGGCAGGTCCGAGGTGCCCAACCTCGGATGAATGGTAGTAATTCCTTTATAACCGGAGTAAAAGATAAATCCAAAACTTCCCGTTCAAACAATTGCATGACAGCGACAATAGGCATGCCCACACCTGATTCCTTATGACAAGCTGCACAGCAGTTACGATGGACATTCTCGCATTTGAATATCTCTCAATTTCCCGGTTCGGAAATAACCGTCTGGAGGGACACGTCAGACCCTGATTATCTTGCTTGGCATGCCACGTGGGTTCCTCACTGGAGCCTATAAATACCCCCCAGGGGCCACGTCAAAAAGGTAATTGAAACCAACCCTAAGCTCCTTTTATCTCCACTCTAAAGGTAGCCCCGATTATTGCTAACTTAAGCATTGGAGTGTCTACCCCGAGTTCAACCTCGGGGCTTTGTAGGTCAATCTGGAGTGCAAACGTGGATTGAAGAAGGAGTTCTGGTTTGGTGCAATTACATTTGGTGCCGTCTGTGGGAAACTGAATTGAAAGCTCCCTTGTTGCTCTCATTATGGTTAACACTCGATCAGTCCGAGCTAGAAACTCATCTCAGCCTCTTGGACGAGGTTAGGTCCCCAGCAACCTTCCACCTCACCTCCCACCTCCGATCCCAAATATGTTCCCTCTTGTTGATCATGCAGAAGGAGGAGATGAAAATCAACCACACAATTCAGCTCACAATTTAGCTTCTACTGCTAACCAAGATGTAGTTGCAGCTCAGCTTGCTTCCATGCAACAACAGTTTGGTGTCTTTTAGCTAGTACCGGCCCAGCTCTTAGCTAGGAACAACCCTGGTGATCCCCTCATCAATTTACTTAACCCTGCTCCACAACCCCCAGCTCCACAGCAAAACCTTGAACCAGTTCTGCATGCTCCTGCTCTTAGTGAATCTCAAGGTCAATCTCACATAGAGCCAGCTCAGCAACCCCTTCCTGATGATGTCACTCGACGTCTAGACAGCTTAAAAAAGCTAGTAGCTGAACAGCGAGGTGCCCCACCTCCACACCATGCTGCTGACTCCGTACCCCACCCTCTGAATACCAACATCACACTGAAACCCTACCCTGCTGGCTTTAAGATACCTCAGCTTGAGACTTATGATGGGATGAAGGATCCCAATGATCACCTACATGCTTTCTACTCTTGTATGCAAGCTTAGAATGCCTCTGACGCGTTGATGTGCAAAATCTTTCCCTCTACTCTTCGAGGTAATGCTCGAACTTGGTATTACAGTCTACCTCCAAGGTCAATCAACTCTCATACAGAAATGGCGTCTGCTTTTTCCACAAAGTTTTCCAGTAGAAGGTTGATCAGGAAAACTACTTCTGAGTTGATGTGAGTTAAAAAGAGGGACGGTGAATCTTTGAAGAATTATATGAGCAGATTCAATGATGCAGTATTGAAAGTTAGCTCCTTCGACCATACTGTGGGAATTGCAGCTGTGATCTCAGGTCTTAACCATGAGAGATTCATAGATAGTTTGCTTAAGCATCCTGCCACTACCTTTAGCAAGGTGAATGATAGATCCCTCAAATTCATAACTGTTGAGGAATATGCCTTGTCGCAGAAGCCAACTCCCTCTAAGAACCAAAACCCAGACTGGAGAGATGAGAATCCGAGCAGGATGAGGACAGCACAGAGCCCAAGGCCTGATGCCGACCCCCACACCAAGATTCGAAAAGTCGAACTCAGCACCTCCACAACAGTCTGCAGGTAAACCTCTAGTTACTTGGACCCTTTTTAACTTGCCGAGGTCACAGATCTTCATGCAGATTAAGAACAAGATGGACTTAAGGCGTCCTGGTCCAATGAGAACTGCTGCTGCTAGCCAATATCATATTAGATATTGTGATTTTCATCAAGATCACGGTCATACAACAGAGCAATGCAACAGTCTAAGGTCCGAGTTGGAAAGTCTAGCCCAAAAAGGAATGTTGAACGAGTACATCTAGAGAGTTGAACGGCCAAGGTTTGTCAGTGAACAGGGGACACAGCCCCAAGGAATCCGCAATCCACCAAATAGGTAAGGAGTAGGCATCAACAAGCCCCACCTTCACTTTCACCCCTAGCTAGAATTATACACATGATCATAGGAGGATTGGAAGTAGGAGGGATGAGCTCCAAGCAAAGGAAGTTATATGTTAGGGAAGTCAAGCATCAGAACTGAGCTCAGAAAAGAAAACTTGATGATGCTGACTGGAAAGATCAACAGATCACTTTTACGCTTGCTGATCTTGAGGGGGTGTTAACACCTCACAACGACCCTTTGGTCATCTCAGTAATGATAAAAAATTGTCAAGTTCAGTGTGTACTTGTTGACATTGGCAGTGCACCTGACATCATGTACTACCACTATTTTGAGAGCCTATGGAGCTCTACTATAACGTTACGATGGTCCCATATATGGCTTCAACAACCAACCAGTTCCAGTCGAAGGGATCCTAACCCTGAACGTTTCATTTGGAAGTGGCTGAACCTATGTGACTTCTTCAGTTTGGTTTCTGGTGGTCAAGATGCCTTCCTCTTTCAACGTTGTCATTGGTCGGCCCACATTAACAGAGATCTGAGCTGTGGTCTCTCAATCTCATCTCTGCATGAAATTTCCAACTCCCGTGGGCATAGCAACACTCAAAGGCAACCAAGAAGTGGCTAGACATTGTTATCTCACTTTGGCCACAAGGCCACAGAAAGACAAAGACCAACCAGCAGAAAACCCTCCACAGGAAATCCATGACAATCAGCAAGTGATGGGGTTGAAATCCTTGATAACCGACCTGAGGATGAAACCCGAGCTGCTTCGGGTGAAGATGTTGAGGAAGTACAGATTGATGAAATAGACCCGAACAGAAAAACACAGATAGGAATGCAGCTGAACCGGAGGAGAGAGCATAGTTGATAGCCTTTCTCTGAGCTAACAAAGATGTTTTTGCATGTACTTTAGCAGATATGTCGGGGATTCCCCCCTCGGTATCTCAACACAAACTTAGTACCAATTCACTCAAGAAACCAGTGACCCAGAAGCGGCGCCTCTTTGGGGGGGGAGAGGTTAAAGGTCATCAAAGAATAAGTTGAAAAACTCTTACAAGCTAGCTTCGTTAGACAGGTCGATTACTGTGAATGGGTCGCTAATCTTGTGTTGGTGAAAAAAGTAAATGGAAAATGGTAGATGTGCATTGATTATACTAACCTCAACTAGGCATGTCCAAAAGATTGTTACCCAATGCCAAACATTGATAAGTTGGTTGAGGCAGCTTCGGGAAACAAAAGATTAAGTCTCTTGGATGCATACTCTGGCTACCACCAGGTTCTAATGGCTCTTGAGGATGAAGAAAAAACCTCATTCTATGCCGGCGATGAAATCTATTGCTATGTGATGATGCCCTTCGGCTTGAAGAACATAGGTGCCACTTACCAAAAGATGGTTACTATCGTATTCCGAGCTCAAATAGGCTGGAATCTGGAAGTTTATGTTGATGATATCGTGGTGAAGAGTTTGAAAGCTGAAGATCACTTAACTGACCTCGAAAAGACATTCAACAATCTCAGAAAGAACAGAATGAGGTTGAATCCAGCAAAGTGCATCTTCGGTGTGGAGTCAGGAAAATTTCTAGGCTTCATGGTGTCCAGAAGAGAGATTGAGGTTAACCCCAAGAAAATCAAAGCAGTAGCCGAGATGGAACCACCGAAGTCAATAAAAGATGTACAGAGGTTGACAGGGAGAGTGGTAGCTCTTCATAGATTCATCTCGAAATCTGCAGATAAATGCTTGTCGTTCTTCAAGATCATGAGATTGACAGCCTAGAAGGATGAATCTGGCAAACAAAAGAAATTCGAATGGAATTTAGAATGCCAAGCTGCTTTTGACGAGCTGAAGTTTTATTTTAGCTCACCCCCTTTGCTGACAAAGGCTAATGAGGGAGAAATCCTTTACTTGTACCTCGGCATATTAGATGAAGCCATCAGTTCTATGCTAGTGAGAGAAGAGGGAAAGCAACCGAAGCCAGTTTATTATACCAGTAGTGTGTTACACGGAGTTGAAATCAGATATTCTATTGCTGAAAAAGCAACCTTAGCAGTTGTCATTTCGGCCAGGAAACTAAGACTATATTTCCAATCACACCTGATCATAGTCCTCACGGATTAGCCCCTCAGACAAATCTTACAGAAGCCAGAATGCTCAGGAAGATTGATCAAATGGGCAGTTGAACTGGGAGAATTTGAGATAACATTCCACCAGAGGTCAGCAATCCGAGCTTAGGCTCTTGCAGATTTCATAGTAGAATGCACCTCGGCTCACTCTGACTCCCAGCCCAGGCTAGACAGTTGGATTCTGTATGTTGATGGAGCATCAAGTAACAAAGGTTTTGGCGCTGGTGCAATCCTACTTGGCCCAGATGGGTACTGAAGTGAACATGTTCTGAAATTTAATTTTGATGCCACCAACAACATGGCTGAGTATGAAGCTTTGCTACTTGGCTTACAGTTGGCAATAGAACTGAAGGTTGTAGTAATACAAATATACAGTGATTCACAGCTAGTAGTCAATCAAGTCAACTCAGTCTGTGAAGTGGTTGATCCTGTTATGATGAAGTATGCAACCCTGGTGGCCGAGCTAAAATCCAAATTCCAGAAATTCCATTTGAGCAAAATACCCCGACCTGAAAATGAGCGAGCAGATTCCCTCTCCAAAATGGCTTCTGATGGCAACCAAAGCTCCAGATCGGTCTTTGTTTATATTCTGGACGAACCTAGCTTCTTAAAGCCAAAAATGATGGAGATCAGCACAGATCCCAGCACACCGAGCTGGACCGATCCAATTATCTCATTTTTACGAGATGGCACAGTGCCTGCAGATAAACAGGAAGAGATGATATAACACACCTCCCTAGGCACCCTTAGTCCTAGAAGAGTTCGAAAATAAGATTTATAATAAAGGATTGCTGCGGAAATAAAAACACTTATGATATAAAATATTTCTTTAAAAGAGAACCTGTATTCAGAAAATCAATTTTATAAAAGAATATCATATATATATATTAGAAAATGCCAAAATATTCAAAGTTATAAAATAAGCCAAGCTAAGCTCATTTATAATTAATTTAAAAGTTTTATACATAAAGCTAATTTACACAAAAATTTTATGAGGCGAATTTCTTCTCCAAAGCTTTCCAAAAAAAACAAAAGCTGAGTCATGGTTTTGGTAAGACATCGATCTGCCTCCCTATCAAAAACACGAGGCCCTAGCTTGTACATACAACGAGCATGCGAGTCCCGTGCCAAAAGCTCATAAACTAAGATATTGCTACCTCGATCTACTGATCTGAAATGGGGGGGATTTTGTGAGCTCACAGCCCAGTAAGTAATAAGCTTAAGCTATAAACTTGGGTTCTAAGACCCTTAGACCTATCCACACAAAGAGCATAAGACACAACGGAATCAAATCACATAATATTATAATTCTCAAATCATAAGCACAAATGTCGAAATTGAATTCATATACTAAAATCATATGCTCACAAAGATGATGTCACAAGCGCAATGCATAAAATTGAAAATCACACAATGCTATGGAGTCCACTGAGGTGTGCTAACAACATTGTATTGGAGCTAATCACGGTACTAACCCTACTGCGCAGAGGTCCACTAAATACCCCGAAGGGTCCACTGAATATCCCAAGCTTTAAGCTTAGGTCCACTTACTCCATAGCCACAAACACATACGCATGTCAAACAAATTCATAATATGTCCCAAAATAATATTAGGACTCCTTATTGGAAGAGATCAAAGCATAATGCGTGAACAGTAATTGTGAACAGTAATCGTGAAACAGTAATCATGAACCGTAATCATGAAACAATAATCGTGAAACAGTAATCGTGAACAATAATCGTGAACAGTAATTTGCAAATAATACAATTTACTTATAATTCCTGCAGCAAAAATCACACCCAAATCAAACAATAGAAAGGACTAACTCACTATCTTTGCCATATAAACCCCAAAATTAAGGATATCTCTAATAAAAGTTTAATACCCAAAAATCTTATAAACTAAAGGATTAAAGTCAAATCTCACCAATTTAAACTACCCAAAACTCTAACCCAAAATTCATAACTAAAACTTATACTTATCTAACAAAAGCACCTTAACTTTGGTTGGAGAAAGGAGGAAGAAAAGGATGGAGGTGGAAGAGGAAGGCATAGGAAAACCAAATGAGGCTTTTGGGGGCCTTCTGGAGGCTTATCCAAGCTTCCACCGACAAAGACCAAAAACTTGGTTGGGAAAATGCCATGTGGTAAGCAAAATTGGAATAATTGAGTTATGGTCATTCAACTTCTACTAAATTTTACTTAAAACCCCCAAACTTTAAATTCAATCAATTTAATCCCTAAAACTATAAACTAAAGGACACTAATTTTTAAATTATTCACTAAGGTATGTGGGGTGTTACAGATGAGGTTGAGGAAGAAAGCATCTCGGTATACCTTTGTTAATGACGTCCTCTACAAGAGATTTTTCTCACTCCCTCTACTCTGCTGTTTGAACCCTTATGAGGTTGAATACGCACTTCGGGAAGTGCATGAAGGTGTCTACGGAAGTCACATAGGTGCTCGAACTTTGGCTCATAAAGTCCTTAGACAAGGTTATTATTGGCTCAACATGTATAAGGATGCCACCCAGTTTGTACAGAGGTGTCAGAAATGTCAGTTCTTCGCACACCTAACCCACCAGCCAGTAGAAGAGCTCACTAGTCTGGTAGCACCTTGGCCGTTTGCTCAGTGGGGAGTTGACCTTTTAGGACCATTTATGAAAGGGGTAGGAGGTGTAACCCATCTAATTGTTGGTGTGGATTATTTTACAAAATGGGTTGAAGCTCGGCCATTATCCAGTATTACCTCTAAGAGGGTCGAAGACTTTCTTTTCAGCTCAATCATTTATAGATATGGAATCTCGAATCAGATTGTGGCTGATAATGGAACTCAGTTCAACTGCTCCTCATTTAGAGATTTCTGCTCCAGTTATGGGATCAAGTTGTGGTTCACCTCGGTGTACCACCCAGAGTCTAATGGGATGGTAGAATTTGTCAACAAAGTTATACTTAAGGGAATAAAATCAAGGTTAGAGCTGCATAAGGCCAGGTGGGCAGATGAGCTCAACAACGTCCTTTGGGCATACAGAACCACGAGCTGAACTGCCACAGGTATTACTTCAAACCTGGTTTACTTAATTGACTTTCATATTATTTTACTTCTTCTTCTACGGCTTTACCTTAGATCAAATATGCATAACGCGTAAAGTGCATTCTAAAATTATAATTAACTGAAATATGTGAAACACCCATCGAAGCAGTCATTCCTATCGAGATAGGAGTCCCAAGCTTTAGGATCACCCATTTTGATGAAGGACGAAATGGATAACTGCTTTTGGGAGAACCTTGATTTGCTTGACGAAGTTAGAGAAGAAGCACGACTTCGAAGTCTAGTTTATAAGTAGAAAATAGCCAACTTCTACAACAAACGAGTTCGACCCCGAACATTCAAAATAGGAGACCTTGTTCTCAAGAAAGTTGGTCTAACGGGGTTCGAAACTCGATTTGAAAAGTTAGCACCAAATTGGGAAGGCCCTTACACTATAGCCGAAGTGTCGCACCCAGGTGCTTATATCCTACGGAACACTGAATGCAAAAGGGTTCCTAGAGTTTGGAATGTCAATAACTTGAAGAAATTTTACCCTTAATGCACTTCTTTCCAGTGAACTTCGTCTTATTTTTATAATCGTCATTATTCTCTCTCTATCTGCGCAATGTATATACGAGCTCAATTTATTTCTCTCATTAATGAATTTCACTTCACATTCGAAGTGATTCAGTTCTTTCTACTCTTTTGTACATTAGAAGTGAATTTCACTCAGTCTTGAGGTTAATCCATTGTGACTTATTTAGTCACTTCACCTTTTGGGTTACAATTTTATTAACCAGTTGCACTTTACTTTTGGAGTGAGTTACTTCATTTCTTTTCATCTGCATATTTGAGGTCTGCCTCACGTATATCTGAAGCCAATTCCTTGGCTGTCCATTTTGCTCGGTGTCCGAGGTCAATTCCTTGTATTAATTAAGTCACTTTCTTTTAATCCGAAGTAAATTACTTGAAACAAAATAACCAACAAACATTAACATATACACATCAAAATAACTTCAAAAATTTTATAAATTAATGAAAATCAATTACAAAATTGTTGTTTATTACAAACACAACTAACAAAAATAAAACAAAAAAATCCTAAGCTAATTTGCTGAGGGAGGAGGTTGCTCCTTAGCAGGAAGAGGTGGTTAAGGTGGCTCATCCCCAGCAGGTAGAGGTGGCACTTCTGCTTCAGGAGGAGCTAGCTGCTCTTCACCAGAGGAAATTGGATGAACTTCAGGAGGTTGGACTTCGGCCAGATCTATCTGGTTCTTCACTTCAGTATCTTGCACTCCTTCCTCTTCCTCTACGGCCACCAACTCAGCATCAAAGGTTGGAGGAAAAATAGTGCGTCCCTCTGCGTCACGCTCTCACCTCAGCTCGATCGGAGGTCGGAAGTCAACAGAAAGACTTTCACCATCCTCCTCCACCCCTTCTTCTTGCTCGCCGAAGGTGACTGTCATGACGTCCACTTTGGGATACTAAGCCTTCACCTTCTTTCTACAGTCGGTGAAGGCCAAAATTGCGATCGGCAGCCGGTAGAGGTTGATGATGTTCTTGAAGATGCTGGAGTTGAGGAAGTTCCCAATATGCTCCTCCATCTCGTTGTGAACCAGTTGATGCACATTCTTCTTCAGTTCAGCCATCCTCTTGTTCATCTTCTCAATATATTTGTCTTGAGCCTCAATCTTGTCTTCGCAGATCTTCCTTTTACACTCTTCGAAGACAAGTCTCGTGCTTAACGTATCTCTGTCATTTTGGAGTTTGGTTATTGATGGCATAACTTCATCCAATTTCCTCTGCATCTCTTTATTCTTCTTTTGTAGCTACTCCTTCTCTTTTAGCAGCTCCTCACACTGCCTCTGCAAGTTGGCACAATCTCTCACACTTTCCGCATACTCTTGCGCTAGATTGTTTACCTAGCTTGCACTTTGCAACGCAAGTAGAAGTCAAAAAATCAAAAATAAAGTATGAATACACTGTAATTTCTTTACATACCTCTAGGGAGTGCCTTACAATGCGAGCCCCCAGTTGGCTCACTGCCTCTTCCCTCACTTGCCTCCTATCCACCTCAGGAAGAGTTGCGTTGAGGAAGCGCTTCATCCCAGTAATGTTCGTTGCTTCGAACAAACTTTTCTGGAACGAAGGAGGAGGGATGAGTTCTTTGCCTTTGCCAGGGCCTCGCACCTCGACCTCCTCCCTTTCCCTGACTTTAGGATCCACTTTAGCAGGAGAAGGCCGAGGTACAAACTCAACCACCTCATCCCCCCTAGCTTCTGGCTTTGCCACCTTCCTCTTCTTCCTCTGGAGTGGCGCCACCTCCTCACTCACTTCCTCACTGCTTCTCCTCATAGGCCCTGGCCTTTACTGCATCTCTAGAGCCCAGGTAGAAGTGCTGAACAGCCGCTCCCTCTCTGTCGCACCCTTTTGCTGCCGCAATTGAAGTCTTTGACTTCTTCCTTGGCTTCTTTGGGATGGCCAGCCCCCCAACAACGTTTAGAAAGCTATCCATCTCAGCTGTAAAACAAACACAAATGTCAAAACACACCAACCAAAATCTCAACTAAAGCGCACAAAACAAAAATAAACAAACCTTCGCTCAATGAGCTTGGCCCATGGAGCTCGGCAGCCTTTATTGTCTCTGCGCTGGTGTGGTACATGATATCCACTAACTCCCCTTCTTCCCTCACCAGCTTACCTACTTCTTCCACTTCATCCTTATTCAACTTATAATTGTTCTGCTTGGTTTTCTTAGCTTTCCAAGCAGACAATTGTTCTACTTCGGCATCCCTCCTACTCCACTCGGTGTCATCCTCAAAGAAGAATTTTTCTTTCCATCCTTTAATGGATGACGGTCCAGTAGTGAATAAACTCCAATTCTCTTTGCTGGACGACCGAGGGCTGAAGTAGTACCACCCCTTCTCACCTTTACCCCTAGCCCTTATTATAAAGAAATGTTTATACATATTTACGGTAAAGACCCCAACCCCTCGAGCTCGGCAGTATACTATAAAGCCTATTATTACTCTTATAGCATTTGGGGTTAATTGGGTTATTCCTATACTATAATCTAACAATAACCCAACCAGTAATTCTGGAATGGGAAACCTAAGCCCTGCAGCCAAATAATGGACATACATGGGCATCCAATGGTCACAGGGTGCTGAGCATGCTCTCTCATTCACCCCCGCAGGCTTAATCAACACATGGTGAGAAAGGTAACAGTTATTTACTAGCCCCCTAAGGCTGCTCCTACTACTCAATTCACTCACATACCCTCTCACTTTAGACACTATGTCTAATTCTGGGTCATAACACCTACCCACATTACCCTTAACCTCCATTATATTTGAGGGAATTTCCTCTTCCTCCTTTTCCACTACCCCCCGCTCCCTTCTTTCCTCCACTGTCCTCTCCGAACTAGATGGAGACAGACTACTCTCCGAGTCCATGCCATCATACTCTAGGGGAATCACCTCACTTCCTATTACACTCATTGTCCCTTCTAAAAACATCTCCTCAATTTCTACATAAAGTAGGAGGAGGAATGTAGTTAGGACCCTTAAAAAATTCTAACACATACTCAATAACATTCTCACTCCCAACCCTAACTTCCTTCAAAAGACCCAAAATCAAAAACAGAAAAGGAAGAAGGAGAATAACACTTCGGTAAACTCAAAATAAAAAATTCATAAATTTTACCTAATTTTGGTCTTGTGAATTGTTGTTGAAATCTCAAACGAAGCACAAACCGCACGAACTCGTAGAAATTCAGCAGCAATTTGGTAGCAAAATAGTGAAAGTAAAAACCTTTTTTTACAGAAGTATTGCCTTTTATACCAAAGGAAAAATATGCCTCAACGGTTGTGATTAACTTCATCTAACGGCTACAAAGACACAATTTCGAATTCGACGGTTAACCTTAAACGGCACCGTTTCGAACTCGATGGTTCGTTTTTTAAATCTGCTCGTTTGACTGTTGCAGTTATCTTTTTACAGCTGCATTTATTACGCACGTCTTTCTGAGGACAGCTGTCACATCACGTACTGCCTCTTTGTCAGACTTATCAGACGAGCCCACTTAAGCCCATTTTAATACTCTTGCTCACTTTTATACATTATAAATTTTTGCAAGTGTTTTACTTCAGTAACCGACTTGATATATTCTGTCATACTTGTCACTTCGGCTCTGGCCATAGTGACCCAGCATCACATATTTTACTTCGGTTCTTGTCACAGTGACCCAGTGTCACGCGTTTCACTTCAGCTCTGGCCATAGTGACCTAGTGTCACTCATCTCACTTCGGCTCCGGCTATTATAACTCCGGTCATTACTTTTTATTTCGGTTCCGGCCACTATGACTTCGGTCATTACTTTTTATTTTGGCTTCGGCCATTATGACTCTGATCATTACTTTTTATTTCGGCTCCGGCCACTGTGACTCCGGTCATTACTTTTTATTTTGGCTCCGGCCACTATGACTTCGGTCATTACTTTTTATTTCGACTCCGGTCACTATGACTCCAGTCATTACTTTTTATCACGGCTCCGGCCACTGACTTTGTTCATCATTTCTCACTACGGCTCTGGTCACTACAACTTCGGTCATTATTTTTTATTACTTGTTATTACTTTTTTACATTGACTTCGGTCATTCTTTTACCACGGCTACAGCCACGATTACTTCGGTCACATTTTATTTTGGGCATGGCCAACACGACCCCCTATCACATATTTCACTATTAGCTACGGCTATACATACATTTAGTTACAGATTTTTTTTTCCATTTTTACTTTTGTAACTCATCTTTAATATTTGTATCCCCTTTCCTTTCTATTTATGCACTATTCCCATTACCTCTAACAACATCATTCACAAGTGAATGACTTCGGGGGGGAATAGTATAAGGACAGGTTCGAAGTGCCCAACCTCGAATGAATGGCAGTAATTCCTTTATAACCAAAGTGAGATAAATCCAAAACTTCCCGCTTAAACAATTGCATGATAGCAACAATAGGCATGCCCACACTTGATTCCTTATGACAACCTGCATAGCAGTTACGATGGACATTCTCGTATTTGAATATCTCTCAATTTCCCGGTCCCAAAATAACTGTCTGGAGGGACACGTCAGACCCCGATTATCTTGCTTGGCATGCCACGTGGGTTCCTCACTGGAGCCTATAAATACCCCCCAGGGGCAACGTCAAAAAGGTAATTGAAACCAACCCTAAGCTTCTTTTATCTCCACTCTAAAGGTAGCCCCGATTATTGCTGACTTAAGCATCGGAGTGTCTACCTCGAATTCAACCTTGGGGCTTTGCAGGTTAATCCAGAGTGTAGACATGGACTGAAGAAGGACTTCTGGTTTGGTGCAATTACAACTGGCCAATGATAATTGTATAGCCATAATTGATGATTCAAATTTCAAAAGTGTTTTCAATCCAAGTTTAGGAAAGTCATTAAGAGATTGATGAAAACTTTGAATTATAAAGAACTATAACCATAAATAATGCTGTGAATATTCAAATTGCAAATAATTTATTTAATGTAAAATTGATAACATACTAATCTTTAACTTGTGGAGAGTTTAGATAATAAAAGTTTTATCACAAAGAATAGGTTTCAAAATAATTTCATTCACATTAACATTTACATTTGATTTAAGTTATTAGAATTTAAATAAGTATTCCAACAAACCAATTGTCTATTTTGTATCTATTGGGGATAGAGTTGACATTATCTTTCACTTCCTATTGCATTAAAGAATGATTTTGGTTTAATTTGAAGAGGTTAGGCCAAACCCAAATTCCTTTTAGTTAGTTAGATTGGGATCAAGAAGATAATTAGGTAAATTAAAATTTGTGGGTCTTAAACTTGATTAAGGCTTTGGACTTAATTAGTATTGTTTGAATAAAAAAATGAAGAATAATTAGTGATGACATCAACAACAAAATAGAATGCTTGAGAAGACAAATAGGAGTGATGGTTATATTTTTAGTTTGTTAATTTTTGTTTATAAGAGTTTGTTGAACTTAAGAATGATTAAATTCAATTCCTACATTTTCCTCCTATTACTTCTATATAACAAATTATATTGTTTTGTATTAAAAATCAATAATATTTAGAATTTTTTTTAGTGGTTAATGCTCTTCTAATTGCAAATCGATATTGTTTCTACTTTGATACCTATTACAATCTTCTTGGATAAAAGTTGATAATTCTATTTGTTAGACTGCATGTTTTTATAAAATGTTATTGACAATGACAAAATTAGTTCTTTTTTTGTACTAGTTGTAATACTTTTGCTCAACATTACTTAACTAGTTTTGAATTAGATTTTGCTATAAATATAACTAACTTGCTAATTGTTCTTATTGTTTTAAATACATTTGAAGCAATATTAATTCAAACTAGATTTGATTTCTCTGACTCAAATGAAGATGATGAAATGTTTTCAAAAGTGATTTGATTAGAGATACATGGGAGAGTGCAAGTTTATGAGCTTGGTTCAACACCAACTTTTGTATTTGGTGGTCTTTCAACTCGTGCAAAATTGACAAGGTAGTTGGATGAAGCAAATAAAACTTGTGAAGGATTAAGATCAAAGCTTAGTGGCATGAAAAGCAAAGTATAAAAGGATAAGGGGAAAAAAAAAAAAAAGACCT